CATCCTTAAAGGCAGTTACTGAACAAACCCCCAGCTTACCCAGTTCGGCTCTCCAGTAAAAGGGCTAGAAAGACAAATGATTGAAGATCCCTGCCCTCACTCTCCTTAGAGTAGGAGACACAGGCCAGGAAACAAACGTTACAATACAGCACAAACAGGACAACAATGCTCTGTTCTCAAAAACTGCAATGAGAACACAGAGAAGGGGAACACAAGCCACTTTAGGGGATGCCGTGCTCAAATTTTAAAGTGTCCAACCTTGGTAGGTATGGACTACTATGGCATAATGTTTCTGGGCTTTATTATTGATATCTTTAAAGAAACATAGTCCACAAAAAGAAAAGAAAAAAAAAAAAAGGTCTCAGATCATGACACTCGTGGAAAGTCTTAGCCCAAGAAAACTTTAATGGTCCAGTTATATAAATCTTCCAGAATGAGAATTTCCAATAGAAATACTGACAGACCTTTAATTATGGCATTACTATGGGGCTTTGTATAATAGAGCCCACATATTTTCAGCTTAGGTCATTACTTATAGGATGTAAGGATTTTATTTACAAGTGCCTGACTGAATCAATGAGGTGAAGTTTTACACAGGAAAGGAAGTGCAAAGTACACGGTTTGAAAAAGCAGGGATTTACCTCCTGGGGTTCAGGAGGCCCAGGGACCAGGGGCTTCAGGCAGTGAATGATGATTTTGACTCCTCCAGTTTGTATAAAAGGTTGAAGTTCAGTCGGGCGCAGTGCAGCATTCCACAGGACCTGCTGCCTCTTTGAGCAGGCGATTAATCTCATGATCGATAGACCATATGATTAGGCACTAATAGCTGATAGGAGGAGAGAATAAACAACCATAAATTTGCTTTGTACCGAGTAATCCAAGTGTAAGCAGGGTCATTTAATGGCCACATTGGGTCATGTTACCTAAGGAGCCATATGGAATAAAAATGGAAGATCCTTACACTTTTTAAGATCTTCTATTGTTATCTCAGGGGATGGGACCAGGGCAGGGGCTCTCTGAGCAACACCTTATCAGTTTAGTATTCTTGGTGACAGATGCGAAGGTTTCCATGTGCTGAGTGCAGAGGGCTGATTACAGAAAGAATAATGGAAAAGTCCCATTGTTGAAATAATTCCTCTCTAAGCACCTCTTCAACCATCCTCCGTATAACGTGAGTGGCCCTGGGTGGTCCGTCTCATAACTCCACGAAACACCAGAATCCGTGCTGAGGGGGCAAACTAAAGAGAAGCAGCACTTGGGATCTAGAACAGGACTGTATGTGACTCTCAATCAAAGCAGTTGCTGGACTGTTTAATTTCACCTTTGCAAGCAGATCACTGCTCCGAGTTCCAGGGCTGTTTCTCAGGGTGTCATGAACTTCCAGTGTTGGGAATGGTTATATGACATAAAAGCTGGGATCCAGAAGGTCATAAATCTCATTCTTTCTTTTCTCCTTTCCCTGGCTTCTTCCCCTTTCTAACACACTGACCTCCTCCATCGGCCCCTTGAAAGAAAGAAATCAATCACCCCCCCAGACCGAAATGCAAACCTGAGCCTTCCCTGTGCACTGGATGGTTTTTCCTTGTCTGTGACAAAATTCACGAAATTTCGGAAAATGTCATTTCCCTCTTATGTGTGTCCTTGTCTCTACCCTACCCTGAGCCCTGGGAAGCAAAAAAACCCTTAAGCTCTTGCTATCAATGACCATGAAAAAGGAAGGAAGACACTTTGTTAGCCTAAAAAGAAATGTGCCAGAGAAAAGTAATTGTTGGACAAAAAAGAACATCAACTGGTTTTGCACTGCATTCTCAGCCCCACAGCAAACTACACAAATCTCTTTTCTTTGAAAACTATCTGGGAAACAAACCCCTCCAATCACCCTCTCCACTTCTGAATTGTTCCTCCCAGCCCCCATTCTCTTCATCCCCCTCCTCCCGGGACTGACTAATATGGCCTTTGTTAATTTCCAAGCCTTTAGGGAACAACTGTTCACAACCCTTCCTTCCAGTCTAATTGTTCAATACTGCTGATAGCTCTTGAGCCCGCTCTGCGAGAAGAGAGCAGGCGCTTCAGACACCCTGGGGTTTGTTGGGGGAACGGTTGTTGTTGTTGCTCCTAGGAAGCTGGGAAATTCATGCCCCATTCAAAGACAAGCGTTGTCGATACCCCGAAGAAGTCCGGTGGTCTGAACAGTTGCTACAGCCGAGACAGATGAGAATTTTTTAATTTACCCTGACGATCCCTTCCTGGTTGACATTTATTCGAAGCGTTTCAACTCACAGAATTTCTCAGCTGGAAGACTTTTTGGCCGGGTACACTGTACCATTAAAGGCTTCCCCAAAATGTCAAATCACAAAGGACACTCCGACGTCCAGCCATTGCTCTGCTGACACTTTTTGGAACAATAAAACCAGCCCAGCTGGGGCCACCCATACTAACTCCCAGTCAGGAAGAAGCACCTGCCTGGGCCAGGATAATTGTCTGGTCCAGCGTGCTCACTCCCGGGGAAGAGATGAAGGGCACAGCAAGAGAAAGGGACTCGGCAGAGAGCGCAGAGCTGAGCCCCAGGGAACACGGGTCAGTGCTCTTGCCTCGACACCACCTCGTCTCCTCACATCTATATTTTTTAAAGCTCTTCCTTAGCAACTAGTACCAATTTCTAGCCATCTTTGAAACACCCAGAACATAAAGAAGACACTGTCAGTTCCCTTCTTAAACCAACTTGAATTCTCCCCAGAGGAAAATAAGAAAATCTCCGTTGCACACACAGAGAGGCTGTTTAAATGTTAACTCCGCTGTCCCACCCTTATCCCGGTGGTTACTGCTAACCTTGTCCTCACTGAAGCTCTGGAGGGCCTGTAGCCAACCTGGTTCATAGCAGTAATAGTAGTCTTAATATCTACCATTTACTGAACATCGAATATAGACTAGGACACTTACAAAATCATTTCTAATTGTCAAACAACCCTGTGAGTTAATAGGGTCCCCCCACCCCACCCATTTTACAAAACAGAAAAAACAGAGATGAAGAAACTCAGAGAGGTTAAACAGCTTGCCCAAAGTCACACAGCCTGTCCGCAGCAGGCACAAGATTTGAATCACACCTATCTGTCACAAAAGCTGATTAGTTTCTCAGGAGCTTACGCTGTTTTCCACACTGGCTTAAGAATGTAAGAATGAGATTGCCCTATAGCTCTCAGGAACTAGTTGGTACCGGTACCAACAGCTGGCCCTTCTGGTTTACATTTTTCTAAGCATGAAAGCAATACAGACTTACACCATTCCCATGGATACCAGAGTCTCATATCACGAAGGCAATCAGAAACAAGATGAGTCAGTTTTAGCAAAAGCACTAAGTATAGACTGAGGTTAGGGCTATGTGTGCAAAAAGGAGCGGAGTGGAAGAGACTATCTAAGGATTTTTTTTTTTTAATCTTAACATAATGCCCAAAAAAGGAAAAAAGTAACTTGATTTATTTATTCTTCCATCCTCAGCAAATGTTGGCTGAGCACCTACTATGCACGCAACTTTCTAAATTCCATTAGAAAGGGAATGGTTCAGTTTCTCAACTTCTTGCCTACTTAGTCCCTTTGGTATCAGTCACACCACCGGTAATTCATCAATGGTTCTCCATCGTCCTCTGTACCCTGATACTGATGCTCTGTAAACACAATAGAACCTGCTGCTAACCTGACGACTTCTGTTCCTGTTATGACAGAGCCATGTTTTGCCCATTCCAAAATGGAAAGTACCAATAAAGTAGAGTTTGGGAGATGTAATCCAAACGACTCCACACCTGACAGTGTTCCACATGCTCCCGAAAAGAAGGCTCAGACACAGATTTCAACAGTTCCACTAGTCAGTGTCTTCCTGTTGTTATCCAAAGGTTCACCTCGATACCAGCAATGATGCCTTCTAAAAGTCTTCTAGGAGACGCCAAGTCATAAAGTTCTTGCAGGAATTAGCCAAACTGAGGGGATAGGGAGGGTGGGGTTAGAGGCAGAGGGAATGACAGGTACAGAGGTCCAAAGGCAAGAAAGAATGTGGAATATTTAACAAGCTATCAATACAAATAATACACTGAAGGTGGGCGGTAGTAACAGGGCTAGAGAGATAAGCAGAGGCCAGTATTTTTAAGGGGCCTTGCCTCAGCGACCATTCCTTCGTTCTTCTATTCATTTCACAGACGCTAATGAGCGCCTACTATGTACCAGGCATGATGCTAGATCCTTGAGATATCGAGATGGGTTAGCAACGTCTCAGGGTATCTGTTACCACCACTCAGTGATGAGCTGTACCTCACGCAGCTGGTTAACGTTCAACGTGTAATGTAAACTGGAACACAAGAAAACACCCCTTGTTTTTCCTAATCCACCTACTAAATTAAACTATTCACACCTGCAGGGGAAGGACTCCCTTGCACTGGTTTACAATGAACATTAGCCAAGCCCCCTAGGATAATGTTGGACTTTTGCCCACTCATCAATATTAATTGCAACACATATAGATCCAACCCTGTGTTCTCCCATTTCTCCAATTTCAGCCCTCACATCAAGGTATGTTCTTAATCCAACTGAAATTTCAGGGCACACACTTCAGTGCAGCTGGGACCATAAAAATTCACATGGTGTCACTAAGCACCACTAAGTGAAAAAAAATAAAATGAAAATTACATGCTTTCCAGCCACACAGAAAGCCCAAGGTCCACTTACAGAGAAGAAAAAAATCAGCCTGGATACTGTAAAAGAAGGCAACATGATTTTCCAACAACAACTGTATAGGACTCACAGATGTTTCCACACAGGAAGACGCTACTTTTGAAAACTGAAATAAAGTAAAATATCTCAATTACCAGAAACCTGACTCCAATGACAGTAACCCTAAAAGTGACCAGGCCACAGAATCTGTTCTTTGGTGACAGAAACTAATTTTAGATTTAAAGATTCACTCAGTCTTTCACCTTGATTTACATCATTATTTCCAAATATTCAGAACCTACCTGGTTTACGGTTGAGATTTCTGGTGACACAGAGAAAAGAATGGTGCATAACTTCAGGGTTACATTCACCTGGAAAGAAGCATCCATGAACTCAGTCAGGTGTCCTAAAACCGTGACATACAATTTAGACAAGCCACATGATGCCAGTCCTTCCACAACCCACGCTGGCTGCACTCCACTTTCAACTTCTAGTGAATACCTCATTAAATGAAATTAAGTGAAACATAAAACAATTTTTTTTAACATATGAGAGAAGAGAATCTCCATTCATCCAAAGAGAAACTTTTATCAAATATCTTCTATGTGCCCAGGACACACAGCGCCTTCCTGTAAAGAGCACACCATTTAGGGGAAGGAGAGAGAAGAGGGGGGCAGTGGGCTGCAAGTAAATCCACACAATACAACAGGGGAGGTGTGGTCCCGTAGTCACTTACACACAACACAGGGCACCACGGAATCACAAATGAAGAGCGTCAAACAAGCCCAGGAAGGCTTCCTGGGGGAGGGTTTTTTGAGCTGAGTCTTATAGAAGACACTGGAATGATTTAAGGTTTTCAGGTAGTGAAGCAAGTATAACTAGCTCTGCATAGTTAGCAACATTTGCATTTTAGAGTGTACTCTGCTGGGTTGGGTTTCATAGACCAGAAGAGACTACTCAACAAAACTGGCTTATTTGCTAATGAACCCAGGGACACTGACAGGGTGTGGGTGGCTGAACAATGATGACCCCCCCCCCGACCCACACCCCCAAATGGCTACGTCCTAATTCCAGGTCCTGTGAATATGGCAAAAGGTGATCAAGTTAAGGATCTTGAGGTAGAGAGATTATCCTGCATTATTCAGGTAGGCCCAATGATGTAATCGCAAGGTTCCTTGTACGAGACAGGCGGGAGGACAAAGACCTGGGAGAAGGAAGCAGAGATTGGAGTGATGCAGCTGTGAGCCAAGGAACACCAACCCAGCGTCTAGAAGCTGGAAGAAGCAAGGAACAGGGTCTCCCCTGGAGCCTCCTGGATGGACCAGCCCTGCTGACACCAGACTGTTTTTTCAGACTTCCGAACACCAGAATCATTAAGAAAATAAATTTGTGTTGTTTTAAACCATTAGTTTGTGGCAATTTGTTACAGCAGCAATAGGAAACTTAAACACAGGGCTTGCAGTAATAGGAAGAAGAGTTGAATTAAATCAGCACTGACCTGACCCCACAAATCCAAGCACCACGATGTGCCTGAGCAGAGAAACGATGACAGTGACACTGACCGTAACTTCACACATAAAACTTAAAACAGGTGCAAAATACTACAAATGGTTCGACTTGCTTATAGGTGAGCAGTCACCTAATAACTCAAGGTGAGCAGTCACCTAATATCCAGGGAATTAATATCTGACTGCCTCTGCCATGGCCAGCCCACCCACAGGCTCAGATTCTGCATACAAATCACTACTCCCAAGGCACCTACACGCAGTCCCTTGTGTGAAAAAGAAAGAAGCCAAGAAGCTGGAGGGCTGGGATTTTTGTCCTGTTCAGCGCTGTATCCCCAGCATTAGAACAATGCCCGGCACATAGTAGGTGCTCAGTAATATTTAGTGAACTGATGAAAGTCTGGAGTTAAAAGATAATCTACTTGTGAATAACAACTAAGTCTCCCGTGGATAATGTTTCTACTGAAAGGTTATCTGATTGGCCAGACTCTGCAGATTTCGAGAAAACTCCTTCCTCATAATTGCACTTCTGGTTTTAGCCATACAACGTGACGTGTAATAAAAAGGGCAGAATGAAATTTCGGAAAGTCAGTGAAACCGGGTTATATGGCAGTGTGTTAGCTCCGTGCTCCTGCCATGCTTGAGCGAAGAATTAATTTCCTTGAGAGTTTTTCTCCTTGGCTTAGTGCTGAAGTGGCACAAAACAGGCAGAGGTTTGATTCTCTTAGACTTACTATTAATGCCACCAGCATTTCAAGAAAAAAATATCTACAAGCAGATATGGAAGCCCCTTAATTAAATGAAATTTTACAGGCATTTGAAATATCCCAAAGCTAAGGGCCAGAGGGGAAGAAGGCAACGTGACACTTAAACCTGTGAGGATTAAGTAACAGCAGCAGCTAAACTGAGGCAGGCAACACACATTTCCAAAAGGACCTTGTACGTCAGGTATGTTCTGATGCCAGGTCTCATTATCCTAGTTTCTTCCACTAAAGATGGACAAAGGGTAGAAATTAAATAGCTACAGGCCTGCACTAATGGCTAACGCAAAGGAAAAATAAACATCCATCTATTTTCCCCAAGACCGTTTCCTGAGCACCTATCCTGTGCCAAGCCAAGTGCTAGATCCTAGAGACAGGAAAACATTCTAATTAGTTCTTGGGCATGTTCTCTGTATCAAGCAGCTGTGCTAAGTGTGGTCCCATTACTATCACCCTCATTGTCACAATGAGAAAACTGAGGCTTAGCAGTTCCGTGAGTTCATGGGGCTAGCGCCTGGCAGAGAAAGAATCTGAATCCAGCTACGTGTGAATTCCAGGGCTCAAATTCTCGTGGACAAGTGTCCCCATGCCTCTGCCCAGCAAGGGCCCATCACTGAATGGGTGAGTTAAGACCTCAACACACACACACGTACACACACACGTACACACACACTGATCAGGATAAATCTAGAGACAAAAGTTTTCCACAGAGCTGCCTGTCACAGGAACACAAAAGCGTTGTTTTAAGCCTTCTAGACCAGTGGTTTGCTTAAAAACAGATTACTGGGCCTTAACTCCTGAGTTTTTGATTCAGTGGGTCTAGAACTCAGATCAAGGATATGAATTTCTAACAAGTCCCCATGTGAGGCTTATGATGCTGATTTGGGGACCATACTGTGAGAGCCAGCGATGTATAAACCTGCAAACGTGATCTCTAAGGGCAAGAATTCTGTCTTTTTTGTTCTCTGTATCTAGAAGAATACATGGCACATGTTCGGCATTCAGGAAGTAATTACCAAATAAATAAATCTGCTGTGTACTTGAAAAAGAGATCACCAACCTTATTAAAATTGTGTGTGAACAGGTTCTGACTGGGGTCTGAGAAATCTTCTCGTGATTAAGGGCCATGAGCATCTTAATGAATGTTGTGACAAAGCCTTTGGCCTCTCAGAGGTTTGGTGTCGATGCATGGGTCCTGTTATCACAGCCTTTCTCAATCATGGTGAAATGGCATATTGAACAGAATACGGAATCAGTGCTAATTCTGTACTTAGTAAGTACAGATTCTACACAGCTAATGCTAGACAGCTCAATGTCCTCTGGCAAGTTCCTAACTTAGTAAAGCTCAGTTTTCCCTTCTGTACAATGGGTTCTTAGGAAGATCAGAAACAACATACATGAAGTGTTCAGATATGTGTCTAGCACATGGTAAGAATTTTTCAACGGTAGCTACGATCAACCGAATCACAAACATACCTCTGTCAGAGCCATCACAGAAATCTTCATCTTCAGTAAACAGTCGTTCGCCCAACAATATTTAGCAAATATTTACTAAGCATGCCATTCACTCTGTGGGGAGGCTTTGATTCTCTGATGCCACATTGAGTAATAGGTTAAAAAAAAATCCCCTCCCTAGATTTCCTGTCACCCCAAAGGGCTTGCTCTAAAAACCTTAGGAGGAAAGGCCCAGAAGTGCCCTCTGGAAGAGCTCAGGGGCAAGAATCGACAAGAGTCATGTAGAGAGATGAAGCCAGGTGTGCCTCCTCCCTCAGGAGGCATGAAGAGGGTTGAGTCAACAAGCCTACTTGCTCTTGGGCCAAACAGTCACCACAGGAGCGGTTCTCAGGGCAGGTGTGAGCGGATCAGAAGAGAAGCTGCACTGTCCGGTGGCTGCAGCTGGGAGGTTCTCTCCCAGGTGCTCTCTGAGGCTCCTGGCACCCACGGAGACACCTGCTGAATGCCAAAGAGCCTCTCTGTCTTCAGCCTCCATACCTGAAACACTAGCGCCGAAACAAAACGCCCCTCCCTTTGTGAAAGACTTCGTGCAAGTTAGCGTGTCTGCATCAAGTTATACTGTTAAGAAAACTAAAATCACGAGTAAGGAACCAGATAGCAGAAAGTAACCTTTACAATTTCATATTCCTGTGTTCATTCATAATGTAAAAGACTTAGAAAGGTACCCATTTGGACTCTTGGGAATAGGAAAATCCCAAAACCATAGTTTACTATTTTCAAAGGAGTTTCAATATGGGCTGGAATCAAGAATACCGTTCTTCAGGCTAAGTTTATATCCTGAAATATGCTTCTTGTAAGAAATAATTTTAAAATGTGGAATCTAAAATTAAGCAAAAATAACATACAGTATGTTCAGCTTTGAAATTTGCCGGGACTAAGCCAAGTTTACCATAAACAGAAGGCAGAATTGTCTATTTTTAACTTTACAGCCCTTGGGTGATTAAAATTTTGAGCCATAATAAACAACTTTTTTCTTCTTCGCAACATAATTTCTCATTTGAAATTGCAGTCTTTTTAGTTGTTTAGGAGATATGGATTGAGCACTTCATGTTTTTAAATTCTTTCTTAAACGGAAATTTCTTGCAGAGACTAAGTGCGTGCATTAGCATGCCAAGAGCACAGATTTTAAAAAAAGAAGAAAAGACCTCACCAAGGCCCCAAACTACACTGCCTTCTCCTCTTCTGTGCTGTTGAACAATTAGTACCTTCAGCCAGCTGCATTTTGGGAGAACAGAGTAAGTGATCCCACCATTCTGCCTACATAAATGGAATCACCACAAACACCTCACCATCACCCAGCAGATTATTTGGCAATTGGGTATCTTTGCAGATATATTATGTCAGCAGAAAGTGTACCTTCCCACCAGGAAAGACAGTTGCATATGCAATAAACCTATAGCCTTTGACACACCAGTTAATTACATCAGTTAGCTACTATCTCCTGTGCATGATCTCAGCGTTAATGAAACTACTTTGGTGTGGAAGTGTTAACAGGTCAAGACAAGCAGATCAGGAAACAGAAGGGATTTAGGGTCACACAGAATGTCAGTGTGCTGAGTCACAGAGAACTTAAGCTTGGCCCCCAAAAAG